CATGTTGTGGTGTTTTGCTAATCTGAGCCTGAAGAGCTTCATAATAAGCATCTTTGATTTCTTCTTCTGCATCGTTTGTAGGCGAGTAGCACTGAATAATTGTTGTCTTGGCATAGCTGGAATTAAAGCGAGCTCTGATCAATCGCTCATTTATAGGATCCCATTCTATCAAGCTCTTTGTACATTCCTTATCCATAATGATTGCCACTCCTTCTGTATGTTGGTTGTCATTTCTACCGGAGTATATGATGGCATGACCCTGTGTGATAATTTTTCCTGACTCTGTCCACCTGCATTCACTGATGCCTAATATTCCTAGTTTGTACCTTTCCATCTCTCTAATGACGCGCAGTTTTTGAGACCTGGAACATAGTTCTCACATTCCATGCGCCGATCTTAATGGTCTTTTTTGGATCCATGAGATTCCGGTTCCTGTCCAAGGCCTCCCAAGTTGGGCTTTCTCCTTGTACAATCATATTGCTGCCTGTGCAGCCCGTCATCCCATGGGTACCTGCTGTTTGTTGATTTCTTGTGTGTATTTCTGTAATAAGTTGTTGTTTTATAAGATGAGGTTATTAGCCTCATGCTCAACCCCCAACTTGGAGGACCAGGGGTTTTGTCATTGAGGTTCCCGTCCTCTAGATCAGTTGCCTTGCTTGGCTGATGAGTGGTGATCTACCCAGTTTGTTTAGAGTTCTCTCTCCTAGACAGGTTGCCTTACCTGGCTTACAACCCCTATCTGGCTGACTATTTACCCATAGCTGCATGGGGCAAGGTTGATGAGTGCTAGGGCATACCCACACACCGGTGGGCCTACACACTGCATCATTGGGGTCCTTGCTACTCCAAGATCCTCTGCAGTTTAGCCTAGGATACAAGACCCTAGTTACCATGTGCTGTCGCTGGAGGCACTGTAGAGGTCTGAGACTGGTAGAGGCTTTGTACTGGCAAGAAAGACTGACGCGCTCGGCTTTCTGTTTCACCTACAAGTAGGCTAGCCAGTGGCAGGGTAGAATCTTCGACTCCCCTGCACTAGACGCATAATGGGACGGATTCAATGTATTCAAAAGATAATGTCATAATCTGGGAAAATATGTTGACAGAAAGTATATTGAAATTTTGCAAAATAACAAGTCAAAGGTGACAAAGAGATGATTTCAATTTTCCAATTCTGAACTTTATATTTTCATCCAGCAGCATTTCTTACTTTGTGAAGAACCACATTGACTCCTACAACAAATACACCAAAGATGATATAATAAAAATACTGGACTTCTTGATCAACACCATTATTGTTGAGTTTGGTGGATTGAAATTTCAGCAGACAGTCGGTATTCAATGGGTACTAAATGTGCACCACTACTGGTCGTCTTGTTTTTGTACTCATCATATGAAGCAGAATTCACACAGAACCTTCTCAAAGACAAAAAGAAAAGGCCTCTTGCAAAGTTCTTTAATTTCACTTTCAGATAAACTGATGATGTTATATGTTCTATCACTCAATTACCCACATTTCAATGGATGCTTGCATCTCATATATCGCATTGAACTGTAAATTAAGGATACTACCGAAAGTAGAAGGTCTGCTTCGTTTCTTGATCTTTTCCTCGATATTGACACTAACGGACAACTTCAAACTATTTATGACAAACGTGATGATTACAACTTTCCTGCTGTCAACTCTATTTCTCAGCAGTAGCATACCCTTTGCTCCATGGTTTGGCGTTTATATATCTCAATTTATACGTTACTCTGGTGGATGTTCATACTATACGGATTTCATTAACAGAGACATGCCACAAGACTATTGAGGAGTCTCTAGCATTTAAACAGTCACATGGACATATGGCGGGGTTCAAGAAGATTTTCTTGATCTCAATTCTCCCCTGTTGCATGGAATCTAGACAAATGGACTAATAAAAGGTACAAAAAGTGCACACAATAAAAATCAGAAAAAGGGTATAATAGCCGACAAAACACAAGTACATAGGAAACTATAATTAACTATAACGTAATATCAAAGATTGCTCACAGTAACTGAATGGAAGTGCATAACGTGCTAATATGAAATCATGACGCCCTATTCTGTAACATGACAAAGTGTGATTTGACGAAATGACGAATACCATACATTGAAACGGACTGATTACCCTTCCAGAACACCCGAATTCACCCCAATTTTTGGTTGGTTGTTGTTCCTCAGTGTAAGGTTTTTGTGTAATTTTTTACGGTTGTCTGCATATCTGTCTTTTTGGCATGCTATTATTATTAATTTTTTTATTTGATTGCCCCTTTGCTACCGTCACTCTTTTTCTCTTGACAAACATATTTAAAGCTGGTATAATGAAATACTTGCGAAATAAAGTAGGGACATAAGGGAATGAGTTGCAGAAACACGTTTGTTCCGACGAAAAAGAAACTATCTAATGGTTATGAATATGCAAAATATGCTTTCTGAAAATAGCAATATCATAACTGATTAGGAAACGGCAATAATCCTATAATTATTGGCCGTATTGATTAGAGAAGATAAAATCATTATTACAAGAATAACTGGCTTAAATCTAACCAGAAAGAGAAATTATCCGTTGATAAAGAACATCCGGAGAGATAATTGAACGACTGACATAGAAAATTGACTGGAAATAAAACTTTTTGGACATATAACTCGAATTTGACCCCAGCGATCATTTCAGTTCCAGAGTCTATGAAAAACTAGACAATTTCAATTTAAAATTTATAAATTTGTACTCACCTTAGCAACAATATACAAACTTCACTCACGTATTGATTATACATTTCTTAACTCATGCGGTATTCAAGAGCTTGCATCTGCTCATAGTTTTAAAACGTCATCAGTGTCTGAGTAAAAAATTCATTTAATCAGAAAATATTTGTACCAAGTCAGGAATATGACAATTGTTTCTAGTTGTTCTGTTGGTTGATAAAGCAGAGCGTTTAGCTTTGTAAGTGTTTATGGATTTCCCCTTTTTAAATTTACATTCGAGTTTGGTATTTTTGGTATTTTTATTTTTCATCAAAATACACGTATACATCATTTCAATCATTCCTATACTGAAGCCTATGCTGCGGGACAGATGGTTTCTTCGAGGACTAATGGTCGACCTGCATATATCCAGTTGAAACAAAATAAATATATAATATATCGTTCCTTATGAACGACACCTGTGTTGAAGATAATTTTAAAAAAGGAAGAACAATCATGAATGATTAAATTAAAATACTTAATAGAATACATTTTTATATAAGATATATACAGGAAATGGAAGTTTTATTGCAAATTTATAATTCAAAAATAATACATTTGCTTTATATGCTACTTTTTGTATAATAATAAAAATCAGGATAACACAGATTTGACGTCTTGACCATTGTCCTATTGAGGTTGTCTACATTATCCATTGCAATCTATAATTTACATTATCATAATGAAAAGTCCTAATACTTTTCAAACACCTAGATTATATCTCAGTGTTTTCAAAATTTTTCAAATACTTTAAATATAAATACTGCAATTGTTTATAATTGAAAACATATTATACTCTCTAAAACCTTGAACATGAATACGAGTCTAAATATTATCATGTATGCTGGAAAACAAGTTTAATTATCAAGAATTTAAATCGTTTGAAAGTACAAAAACCAAAAGGGAATAACCAGAACAGTCAAAACAGTTTGTTGTTTTGGACATACAGCAGGCCTTCTCGGGTAATTTGTTTTATATTTGTCATGTCGGGACCTTTTGTAACTTGAAATGCGGTAGAGGTTTTGCTTATTGTTGAACGCCACACGGTGACTTATAGTTGCTAACATCTACGTCATTTTATTTCTTGTGCATAGTTTTCTCATTGAGAATCATACCACATCTCTTTATTTTATAAGGTCAATTTTTCCTGAGAGAGCTTCAACCTTTATTTTGTTACATGAAATTATTTTGTGTTCTCCATGAACATATGTTTTGAAAGGGTCAAACTCTAGAGACATGCCATCGGCAAACCAGTTAACTAATGAATATACATATAAATTGTTATGCAAGAAAATTGAAGTACGCTGATCTATATTTGTCATTTGATACTTCAGATTTAAAAAAGAAGTTGATTATGTTTTTCATTCTCAATTAATTGGCTAAATTCTACTATAAAACACGTGTACATGGACTTTTTTTGAGACTTCTTTATCTTTTCAAAGTAAACTATGCAGAAATGTATTGCTATTGAATTATTTGCTTCCCGTACTCTAATTCGCCGATAGCTTTTCCTTATGCAGTGACCTTAACCACAAGACCTCTCGTTTTAACTTCGGCAACGACACAGCGCATGTGTGAGGAAAAAACCGTGATGGACAAAAAGGTAAACAAATGAAAATAATACACCAAATCCTTTATCAATTGCCATGTCAAAGTTTGACTGTGAATAGAAACGCATGGGAAATATATTAAAAGATAAACATCGCTCTTTCATCTCACTTATTTTGCACGCGGTTTTCGATCAACAATCACTGAATGATATATCTGTTGTCGATTATATGTTATGGATTCGTAATAAATGTAACAAAACCTGCATAGAGGACTTAGATGGTATATATGCGTGGATTGGTTCAATAATTTCCTTTACATTATAATAAAAAGAAAATCGTTTCATGTGAATTAAAAGATGAAAATAAGGACATGTGACGTTCACGTCAGCTGGGCGACCGTCCAACCAAAATCAATAGAAACTAGAAAAAACAAAAACATCTAAACGTCAACATATGAAATCTCACCATAAGCAACATGCAATTAATAGAATATTCATTTTTTTTAATTAAATATGGGCTTGCTGATCACAAACTTTCTAAGCCAATAAATATTACCTAATTCGATTCATATGCAGCTATGTTTAAATACAACAAAACATTTACCTCTACATATTATATAAACTTAATGATAACATTTTTAAGTGGTGAACTATTCTGGAAGTTGAATTGATAGTATAAAAAGATTAGATTAGAATAGCTTTATTCATATGATATGCTAATAAATCACACAAATCCGGTTAGGAGAAATTGTAGCCTATATACAAGGTAACCAATTATCTGAACATTTGACAAATATGTATGCAACTATTCTAAGTTACAGATCTTACAAGATGGGTTTTTAGGGATACCTGACGGGGGAGCAAAACCCCGCCCAATAGTTTTTGATTCGACAATGAAACCATGCTGTAACTCTATGGCTTTTCTCACATTTATGGTTTCAGTATAAAGCACTTCAACAGTCACATCCATATTTGCCATTACAGTGAATGCACCGTTACATTCTACTCGCAAACACAAATATGGATTATGAAAAATGTTTAGTTCTGTCAAATACTGTCGACAAAAATTGTTATGAGTTGATAATTTTGGCACCAGAATGATTGTCACATGATGTCGTTTATAGTGACAGTAAAAATCCGCAAAATACAAATTACACTGAGGATTAAACATTATCAAAGATTTGAGATACAATCTTATTGGTCCATAGTGAGAACATGGATTTGGCAAGTTAGTCGTAGTATCGATATATGTACTGAAAAATAAACCAGATAACCGTCCATTAACAACCGAACCCTGTTCTCCACCATTGCTTTTCAAATATGGTAGCATTTCTCCATTCAGATAGCTCATTACTATATGAAAATACTCCACTGATTTATTCCTATAAAAGAACTGAATAGGTCGCATGTTAGGAATGAATTTCCTTGTCCCAAAAGCTATAGCTAGATTATATAATCGGTATGTATCCACCAGGGATAAAACTGAAAAAAAAAATGTTTGATGAGATTCAATTCCGGAAATAATAGTTTGCAAAAGGGTCACTTTCTTATTTTCAAATATCGCATGAGTGCTTGACAAACTCGTTATTTTGGTAAAAAAACTGATAAATTAGACGACAAAAATTTATACTGTCAAATTTTGCCAATACTTTGTTTTCTTCCTTTCATTTCAGTTGAATTAATAGTGAACAGTGTTTAAGACAAACATTAAACCGTTATTAATTCTTTGAAAGAAGTTTAACAGTATGAAAAGGGGTGATAATTGATCATTCACGATTGCTCTCTCTTTTGACGAATACACACGATCTCAATGTATTCTTTACTGAAAAAAGCCCGAATTATAGTTTTTTTGTATAATTTTGTTTGATTACACATGCTTTCCATTCTTATGAAAAGAGTTATTGAAAATTATTGCTATTACTATTTTGAACTATTCTCTTTTCATGTATTGTCTTTTTCTTTTATTGTTGGCGGGTGTCTTTGCTTGTCATTATTTTTGATACAACATAGAGCTACGTACACGTTTTAAAACTAATCACATGGCTATGCGATACTGTAGTGGTAACAAAAATGCTTCCATCTATCTGCTGCTGTCGACATGTACACATAACCTTACATTCAACAGAAGATGCAGATGGCAACTCAAAAAGAATCAACTTGTTTAAACATCGACCACTGATACTGTAACAGCGGAGCTGATTCTTTACTTTGACAAAGACGATAAAATATTTTTCATCTGTGAACATAATATTTACATCTAATCTGTAATGCGAAGGCGGTTGTCGATGAACAGTTAATGGCAATGTACCCTGCAATCAGACAAAAGCTATAATGCTTGTCTCATAATCAAATCAGCACAGATATGTATCTCAATTAGTAATGTATTCTTGTTTTTTGTATGTACTATATTATTTTTATTTTCCACTGAACACTACTTGTTTTGTTAACTACTGTTTTATTGCATGATGGAGCTCTTTGGTTTTTATAACCTGCTATTTGTCAATTTGTATTTTTTATGTGCAAGTTTTTAACCTAAATTATGAAGTTATTTATGTTCATTCGTATAAAATAATAGCATTCCTCAGAGGAAATTGACACTACTTATTTCCTATCCTCTATACGGGGTTGTCCCACTTTGCATTATATACCAATTGCATTATTGTTAATTTGTTTTCGGTTAGAATATGTATGAAATAATTTCCACTAGGCTTTAAGCAAACAACAATGGACCAATCATCAATCAGTCATATTTTCCCCCTTTTGTTTTGTTTTAATATTTGTATTAAACATTCAATGAGCAGGAAAAAATCCTGCGGTAAAAGCACAAACGCTAAAACCCATAAAAAGCACAAACGCTAAAACCCCATTAAAGCACAAACGCTAAAACCCATAAGATCTAGTTAATCATGCATCAAGATATCAAGTAATCACCTGTTTAGATGGCATATAACATCCCCTGTATTTGTCAATTTGTAATTCATTTGGTTCAACCCTTTTATCAAAGTTGACAATACGAGTATTTTTTACAGATATTGGTACATGAAAGGCATAAGGTTCATCAATGATATTGTAACTGACAATGCCGATTTTTTTTCTCATGACGCTATTAACCAAAATATAACCTAAATGTTACTTTTGTAGACATTCTATCTATTTAACTTGCTATACCACGTGACTGGAAAGAGTTGTTAATACAGCAACACATGTCACCTAACAGCAACTCATTTGGATTCGTTTTTGAGCATGAGAATAAAAAAAATGCCTATCAGTAAATTATTTGCTAAAGATGTTTATTCACTTTTTATCGATCAGGGAAATGTTTCTCCTATTTCACAACAAAGGTGGGAAGAAAGTTTTAATACAGAAATTAGTATTGAAAAATGGAAAAACATTTATTTACTGGTTTTTAAATGTACTATAGAAAGCAAACTACAAGCTTTCCAATACAACATTTTACATAGAATAATCTCTCATAATTATCTTACTGAAAAATATAAACTTTCTAATACTAATGAATGTGCCAGTTGTAAAGAGATAGAAACTATAGAGCATAAATTTTTGAATGTACAGAAATAAAACAATTTTGGAGAGAATTTTCTAATTGGTGGTACTTTGTTTTTTATAAGTAAGAATATTTTTGAATAAAGACAGTGTAATTTTTGGTGTTTTGAATTCTGATAACTTAGATTTAAATTATTGTATCCTACAGGCAAAGTATTACATTAATTATGTTAAGATCACACAATTAGACAGACTGTTAATATCTGTGCAAGCAATTATGGAATTTATTTAATTTATGTTAATTATGATTGTATATTTAATGAATTCCAAAGTATTCTTAAGATAGTACCATATACTGTATATTCACATCAGAGACTTGTAATTTTTTACTTTTTCTAAGTCGCATAATAACACTTATAACAATGTCATCAATTTTATTCACTTATGTCTTGTAACAATGTATGTATGCACTGTAGTTTGAACACCAAAAAAGATCAATAAAAAAAAAATAAATAAAAAACCTGTATTTGTCCTTATTATTTTCAATAGCTTTTTTAAAAATAGAATACAAGTTCAATGTTTGCTGATAAAATCACCTGAGTTGCTGTTGACGACAAAGGCAAGTGCATGTCTTCTTCGATTTCTTTCAAAGGCACATATGTTTGAATCTCTTCTGAATCTTTAAAAGACATCAATGGATAAGATTTGTATCATACAATCTTTTTTGTTTTGTTTTCGTTTTTGTCTTAAACATTTTACTGTTTACAGATGAATAAGTTAAAAAAAAAATACGAAGTTAAAGCATCTTGGTCTAACTAAGGAGGATGCACTTTAAAACGATGAAGTGTATTTTGATTGTTCAAAGCAAGACAACATTAACTGTAGTAACATTATATATCAAAATCCTTACTCGTTGTATACTCCAAATTGCATTATATATTTTTTTTGAAAATGTATATAAATTACTAGAAGAATAGATTTAAGTATAAACAATACATAATAATGCATATTCGTTTTATTTTTTTGACGCTTTTAATTATGCGAAAAGAATGTTGAAAAGATGTTTGTCTTTACACAAAAAGTTATACATGAGGTTAAAAGCATACTTACACTCAATTTCTTTATTTCCATAACATACCACCCTGTCATATTGATTTGTACTTGAAATGATTGTCTTGAGTCCGTAAACATACACAATAAAGTTATTCTTTGGGTTAAAATTGTTGTCCAATGAGAAAGTAAGGTCACCGCAATGAGAGTTGATGAACATGTTCGTTGATGAAAAATCAGATTTATCCACCAATACAATAAATAATACATCAAAAAGAAAAAAGATAGGACAACTTATTTTCAAATCAATTAAATGCTGATCCTTGTCTTTTAGCTTTACAGACCAACACCATGATGCAACCTAGAAAATAGAAATTCGCTGATCTATATTAAAGTCATATGATACTTCAAATTTAAAAAAGAAGTTGAATATGTTTTGCATTCTTGATTGGCTAAGCTTTACTATAAAACACGTGTACATGGAATTTCTTTTAAGACTTCTTTATCTTGTCAAAATATACAGAAATGTACTACTATTGTATTATTTGTTTCCCGTTCTCTAATTCGCCGATAGCTTTTCCATACGCAGTGAAACTAACCACAAGACCTCTCGTTTTAACTTCGGCAACGACACAGCGCATATGCGAGGAAAAATAAAGGCAACAGTAGTATACCGCTGTTCGAAATTCATAAATCGATTGAGAAAAAAACAAATCCGGGTTACAAACTAAAACTGAGGGAAACACATCAAATATAAGAGAACTACGACACAACAGAAACACAACATTAAAATGTAACACTCACAGAAACGAACTATAATATAACAATGGCCATTTTCCTGACTTGGTACAGGACATTTTAAGAAAAAAACCGTGATGGACGGAAAGGTAAACAAATGTTTGTAGAAAGTGTTAATTGTGTTTGAAAAAAAAAATTAATATACCAAATCATTTAACAATTGCCATGACAAAGTTAAATTGTGAATAGAAACGCATGGGCAATAATAATAAACATCGGTCTTTCATCTCACTTATTTTACACGCGCATTATTGTTTTGTGTTAATTGTTGATTAAGGTCACGGTCGTTAAACGTCGGCAAAAAAGTTAAAAGTTTACTAGCAGGGAAAGAGTTCGATCAACAACACTGAATGCTATATCTTTTGTAACAAAACCTGCATAGAGGACTTAGTTTAGTATATATGCATGGATGGGTTCAATAATTTTCTTCACCATTATGATAAAAAGAAATCGTTTTATACGACTTAAAAAATAGAAATAAGTACATGTGACGTTCACGTCAATTGGGCGACCGTTAAACCAAAATCACCGGAAACAAGACAAAAAGCACACATCTAAATGTCGACGAACGCAATGCAATTTCACCACCAGCTACAGCTAATATTATAAGAAGAGCTGTAAAGTGCACCTAAAAGATACTGAGAAGCAATTCCAAAATTACAAATGGTAAGAATTAAGTAAGTTATAATAAAAGTCGGAAAAGTGCATAGTCAGTGCCTGTTGTTCAGTGGTTGTCGTTTGTTGGTGTGGTTCATAGGGATTTCTCGTTTTTTATATAGATTAGACCGTTGGTTTTCTTGTTTAAATTGTTTTACACTAGTCATTTTGTGGCCCTTTATAGCTTTCTGTTCGTTGTGAGCCAAGGCTCCGTGTTGAAGGCCGTACTTTGACCTATAATTGTTAACTTTGTATAATTGTGACTTGGGTGGAGAGTTGTCTCATTGGCACTCATACCACATCTTCTTATTTATATAGAGTCAAAGAAATTAGAGATTAAAAGGATAAAACAGCTGGATGATTACTTGTATATTGTTACTACAAATAAATGTATACAATGACAAAAATAATCTAAGGTTAACTGTATTGGAGGACATTTCAACCTATGATTTTGTTTTATTTACAGAACTTATCAGCTGATAATGCATCGCAATATATGTCATTAAACATGAGACCATTCACAAATATTGACTTCTTGGTTTACGGTCAGACATCAATTTGATCTTCACATGATACACTAACATAAAGTTTTCGGACATTTACTTCTGAAAATTTATCATAATGTTGTAATTACATAATAAAAATACTTGTTCTTAAAAAACAAAATGGAGCTCTATTTTAAAAGTGCAAAACCAACCAATCAAGCCTCATACGTTTACTGCAGTTTGGAAATAAAAGTTCACAAATTAAACCTACTTGAGAATTTCAAGTATCGGCTTTTGCCATGTTAATCCTTTTAATGAATAAACGACATATCTATATTTCAAATGTCAGTTAGAGTGCAACTTTTCTCATGTGAATAACTCATAATATGGCAAAAAGTAAAATAACTAAAATACCGAACTCCAAAGAAAATTCAAAACGGAAAGTCCCTTATCAAATGGCAAAATCAAAAGCTCAAACACATAAAATGACCTTATTGGATACCAAAGCTGCACAAGTTTGCCATTTAGTTAACAGAAATTATTTAGATTAAAATTAGATTAAATGAAATATTTTTAATCTTAAGAACAGTTTGAATAAAAATAAAAATGTTCGACTTTCTTTTTGAACGTTCCATAGCCTAGTCAGACAATTAATTCAAAGATCGTCCCCAAACCCTATTATATCCTTTTTTATACCCGTTGTGCACATCATTTGACACATCACTTATCAGTAACCTACAGATACCCGATACAAACAAAAAAATATTCATAATAAGAGATATTGTAGTAATGTTGGAGTAGTTTATCGACAAGTAGACAGTCTTTCAAACGGTCATTTGAACACAGGTGTTTGCTCTATTCTCTGTTTAACTTTCATTAAACAATGAATGATTTTTTTACTGCTATACTGTAATTTACAAGAAAATGTGGTTGTACTAACTTTCATTAAACAATGAATGATTTTTTTTACTGCTATACTGTAATTTACAAGAAAATGTGGTTGTACTAGGTTGATCCTCTCTTTTATGAACATTTTGCACTGAACACTTCTAAAAATTAACACACACACTAATATTTGCTTTTACCATGTGACATGTAACATTAATACTTACTATTTTTGAAGCAGCCATTTTGTAAACAAAAATATGTTCAACTTGATAATAATACATATATGAGATAACAATTGATTTGAAGTCTTGAATGAATACAAGTTTTTAAATGTATGTCACGTCATTTTAAAATGTATAATCGGATATTTCATCATTCATATCATATATACCATATTAAGTAACCATTTCTACATCTCGGAAGTTATAATTCAAACCGCAAACCTACTGATATGAAACGATAAGGAAATTACAAATATTGGCTTGTTGTGTTATTCATTTTCATGAATAAACGACATGTATATATTTTGAGAATTCATTTACAGTGAAACCATTTCTTATGTGTATTAACAAAAGAATAGTATCTAAATAAAGGCAACAGTAGTATACCGCTGTTCAATAGTCATAAATCGAGTAAGCGAAAACAAATCCGGGTTACAAACTATATATATGGAAACAACGGAACAACAGAAACAACAGAAACACTGAACTGCAACAAAAACAAACGCCAACATACTGTGGATTCATTATTATTCGTTGGATACCAATTTTCGTGGAATCCATTGGTACTGGTGAACCTCGAATTTTAATGTACAACGAAAGACACATTTTATATAAAGTTGTATGCAGACTTTGGCAAAACCACGAAATTAAATAGCCACGAAAATGCAAGATTTCCATAATCCACGAAAATTGACACCCACGAAAATAAATGAATCCACAGTAATAGTTAAACGGACTATTTGATAACAACTGTCATATTCCAGACTTGGTACAGGACATTTAAAAAAAAAATGGTGGGTTGAACCTGGTTTTATGGCTAGCCAAACCTCTCGCTTATATGGCAATGTTAAAAATACCGCTCAAATGACAACACTACGTGACAGGAATACAGTACAAACAAATGCAAGAACACTCAGCAGAGAGAAATACATAAATAAATAATATAATAGTACATTACAACATGTTAACCGCAGAATACAACGGACATCTCCCATGCATGTACGACAGCACACCAGGACACCACAAACGAAGTATAAACTGCGCGTCACAAGAATGGATCAACGCCATAAAAAGTGACGTATTTTCTGTGACGTCACAGGTAAATTTCTAAGAATAAAATAGATTTGTTTTATTGACACGTACAAGAATATTAAATTGGGATTGAGTTTGAAATGGTGTTATTTTATTTATTTTCTAACCATGACAAAAATATAAAAATGGAATTGAGTTTTTAATGGTGTTATTATTTTTATTTTCTAACCATGTCGGTTTTTCTTCTAAATCAAAATTGTGTATAAAAAAACAAATCCTGTGCATATAGTTGCTTTAAACTTAAAATGATATAAATGAAATAGCTGATTTTTTAACTTAACTATTACATACATATAGAAAAAAAAATAAGATAACTGTAACATAAGGCAAGATCATGTAAGACCAAACAGTAAACCATTTGAAAACAAATAACATAAAACAAAAATACTGTAGACGAACCACAAGTAACTCGACTATACTGACAAATAAGACATATGTGAAATGTACCGAAAATACTGAATTCAAACCACAAACGATAAGACATAACACAATATTTAACCAGACTTACAAAAGAAACATCATTACTAAATACATGAATGTTGGATGTATAAATACCAAGACACGTCGTATAGCAATGCGAATTCACACTCGGCAAAACAGTCATATTCGGGAATAGGTCATGTTCATTACTTAGCAGACAATACAACGTAGATGGTAAACCACAATCTAAGACGTGGTAAAAATGTCGTTAGTTAGTTTAGACACAGACACATCTCATAGATCAACCAATTCGTGATGGTGTCCATAAAACTCATAATAAGGCAAATGACTTTTTTATTAACACAAATTGATCTAATTATGTTAGTTGCAGTTATAATAATATGTTGGTTGCAGTTTTAAAATGTTGTTCGTTCACAACCTACATCTCTTTTGTGAGATACTATTCAGTAGACATTTTGTTTTGGTAACTTACTGGTTACAAGATATGATTCCCATGAAAAACCTCATAGAGATACAATATGAAAATAACCCTTTATAAATTTGGTGCGTCCGAAGTGCTTTTCTGCAACTTGAGAATTTTGCCTGTATTATACAATATTGTCGGATAGATGCTAAAATATTATTAAGGAAGACTCGAAGAAAAAAAAAAGGACTTAAACAATGATAAAATCTCATAAGTCGATTAAGAATACATATCAAGCAAACATCCACAAACTGAGGGAATCGCATAATCTTCAAACGGAGTGTGACCAGGTGCGTCGACAGTGTGTATACTGCTATGTATGGATCACACATCATGCAAACGCTACTAAAACAAACACATAAACCAAACCTTTAGTTTGAGTTTTAAATGTGTAGGAAATGAAGACAAACGAATTGGTGAAAAAAGGCACTAAGACCCTATTTCCTAGTACCTTCTGTTTGTGGACTTTTCATTCAGAAATCAACTGTTTCTTCAAATGTCCCAGGAAAAGCGGTATAAGTTTTCCCTACGGAAATTTGCAGTCTTTAATACACAAGTGCAACCGAGGTACTAAATGTCTTCGAGTTACTTATCTAAATGACTTATTTCCTCTTTTAATGTCTAATCCCTACTCTTGAAATATAAGCCCTTAGTAACACAGGTTAATGTCTCTTGTGAAAACAAAAGATATTAACAAATTTGTAAATACTGTAAACCTTATTCGTAACCGAATTTGAAAATTTGAAATGAAAAGTTTTCAAAACAAAGGAAAACAATACCCTTATTCACAAAGACAGCACAAATAAATATAATCAAATAAAATAGAAAAGTCTGGGCAATTCGCACGTTAAGCACTTCATTGTTGACATGAATTATCATTGATATTATAGATTAACTGTTAACAAAACATTGAATTGTTCGAAATACTAAGGATTTTCTAACCCTGGAATAGATAACCTTAGCTGTACATTTCGGAATTTTGGGTCCTCAATATCCTTCAAATTCGTACTTTATTTATAAAAATATATATACATTTTTTTTATTGATTCGAGAGTCACTAATTAGTCTTGTCTAGACGAAACGCTACTTGCGTTCAAAATTATAAGCCTGGTATATTTGATTATTATTTTTTTTTCGGTCTTGTTGCAAAAAGTTTATGATCATGGTTGAGAAATTCTATAAATCTTTCATCCGTTTCTGAAAAACTATGTTCGACAGGTACAACTCGATATTTTTGAAGAACGTCTATGGACGTAGTGAAAACTTGTGAGATGAAAATAACACTCCGGCAAATCCATGCGTCCGAAAGGGATAGATGGAACATACAGAAGATTCCGCTATGAAACGTTTCGCTACTAGTAGCTTTTTGAATAAATTGGAGTTTGTATATCAAATTTTCGGATTCTCTGGTTTTTTTTGTCGTTTAAATCTATACTACTACAATAACGAGGTCCAATTTGTTAGCTGGCATGACGTAAAAACGACGAATCAAATAATTCAATTTTATATATAACTAATATAGTACAGTGGTGTTGATTTAAAACAAACATCGTTCCAGGCCCATTTGTTTTCCATATAATTAATATTACCAATAATTTACAAGTTCCGGGTCCAATCCGATATTTGTTAAGAAACTTTCCGTTTTGAATTTTCCTTGCAGTTCGGTATTTTTGTTATTTTACTTCATACCGATACCAATAGTATTTCCGGTTTTAGTTCTTCTTCTTTATTAGTCCCTCCACTATCTGGAGTACCACTACTACATTGTAGTGAGAAAACCAGGACGGGTTCAAACAGAAGATTTTGAAAGCAGAGAAAAGTGTGCACCTTATAATCAACATACCTTTATCAAATGACAATACGATTACTAAAAATCCAGGCTAAAAATAAGGTGTAGGCACTTTAATTCAGCCACGGACCCGCGATTTCGCGGGTGTGATCTAATGTTAATGAATTATTAATATTATTATTGTTTTACTCTAAATTATTGTTATTATAAAATGATTATTTATTAATATTATCATTACCATTAATATGTATTCTATTAACTAATGTTTGGGTTCGTTTGTGCAATATATTCAAATTGTAAATCAGAATACTAGACCAACTAGGTCTCTTCCTATCCTTTTTCAAAATGAATATGACTCAGTTTAACGAGTACCTAGTTGTAAGGCAGAACATTTTAAAACGTTAACAAATACATGTGTTCAAAAAACATGTTAAAATGCATGTATTATGTGCCATATCCACAGTTTTTAATCCTCCTTATTACCGTTTACATCAATTTGATACATACGTATATATAATTAACAAGTTGTAACAACATCTAATTTTAGATGAGAATACAATCATATAATCATATTTGGTCAGGTTTGCATAGTAATAAAAAACAAATAATGAAAACGAATGAAATATACTACGATTAATATTTGTCGTGATTTATATTTTTTAATAATGTTTTGCTCTAATTTTGACGAAAATTATTCAAAACACTAACATCTAACTATTTCTGTATTTTTAAAATATATACTAATAGTGGAAATGGTAAACTAATTTGATTTATTTGAAATATTTTTTTCGTGTTTTGATTTACTCTAATAGCTGAATCTCCAGATTTCAACAAACCAGGTGAAGACTTATAGTCTATTTTAGCCGCTACTATATATTACACATACAATCCCTTTTATTTAATTAAAATGAAATATAAATATTCATATATTTTTTTTTGTTCCACTCTTTTGCATAATATTAGATATTGTCTTCAATACAAAGTATTCATGTAAAAGAACTAATAGTAATAGAAATATTAAAAGAGGGTAGGTGATTTGTTATTCGGTGAGGTAAAGTAAATATTTCAAATTCATATTTCAACGAAATTTATAAAGTGTTCTTTTCGTGTACTAGCACTGACTCGATACCGTTGCTGTTGGACTGTTTTTTCCCCGAGGGTATCATCAGCTCATTAGTCGGTACTGTAGTGTTTTATAACACAAATGAATAAATTATCGAGAAACTAAGGTTCCAAAATCCTTCAGTCAAGTTTTGCTATACTTTTAAGGTATTTATACACCATTTGCTTTCAAATGTTTAGGGTTGAGTATTGCGGATGACTGTCAATCCAGAAAAATGACGAACATAGAGACATATGAATTATAAACTTATTACAATGCTCTTTTCGCGTTACATGATTTTTTTTTCAGTACAGTAATCACATGGATAATTGACCAAGTTTGCGTTTTTTATCAGTAGTGTAGTATAATAGTATCAGTTAAACATGATTTAAGGTTCTATGACTTTTGATTTTGATACATTCGTTTTGTTTGCTGTTTTTGTGCTTTGTATTGATTTGATGAGTTAAATCTTTTTCAACTGATTTTTATAGTTTGTTCTTATGTTGTGATATAACACCACTGTCCCAGGTTATGGAAGATTGGGCAACGGCAAATATGTTTAACCCTGCCACATTATGTAATTATGTGCCTGTCTCAAATAAGGAACCTGCAATTCAGTCGTTGGTATGTGTTGCTGTATATCGTATTTTTTTTCATAGTTTTATCGTTGGAATTGTTTTAAATTTGTAACTACTACGTCATTTGGTCTCTGGTGGAGAGTTGTCTCGTTAGCAGTAAAATCAGATCTTCTTATATTTATATTATACCGGTATCTAGTTACACATGCATCAAGTTTGGATTTTAATGTCGGAAGTTGTCTTTCTCGTATGCCGTATTTGGTACTTGGGAATATTTAACTAAATATATATTTGGCTTAGACAAGAAAAATGATTAGACACATACTTTCAAATAACCACACAATTTGAAAACGTTACTTTAAGTACAATTATATCATCTATCTAAAGATAATTTAAATACAAAGTGTATCATTTAAGTAATTCCAGTACCGGAGCGCATGCTACTTTATATGTGTTAAATTCGAGGTAAATAATCCACATCATGTGTGCCGATCCAAAGATAGAAAGAAAAAAAACATGACATCTTTTTACAGAACAAGTTGCTAAACATGGATGAACGTGAGTTTGTTTCCTAGTTTATGTAATTGTTAGATTAACTTGAATGAGACATGAACATAATTTATTCATATTGAGAAAAAATCGAGTGTAATCTTGACAAATAGATATCTTCAGATCTTTCTCTGAATACATATGTTACTGAATACATAGTTATTTAATTTTAAATCAGCTGTTATTGAAAAAACGATCTAAAAATGCAAAGTTTTCTAGCAAATATGCAAGCAGGTAGCATCTCGGTATCGCTGCAAATGTTTGCACCTGTCCTAAGTCAGGAATCTGATTACAGTAGTTGTCGTCTGTTTATGTAGTTCATACGTGTTTCTCGTTTCTCGTTTTTATATAGATTAGACCGTTGGTTTTTCCGTTTGAATGGTTTTACACTAGTAATTTTTTGGGGCCCTTTATAGCTTGCTGTTCGGTGTGAGCCAATGCTCCGTGTTGAAGACCGTACCTTGACCTATAATGGTTTACTTTTATAAATTCTAATTTGGATGGAGAGTTGTCTCGTTGGCACTCATACCACATCTTCCTATATCTATATAATAAAAAAAAAGGTAAAAAATTATATAAATACCGAGAATAGAAATATAATTACATGCATTTTAAGCAAAACATGTAACAATATATACACTTGATTTAAAAAAAAAATACGTATAAAAATAAGAAGATGTGGTATGATTGCCAATGAGACAACTCTCCACAAGAGACCAAATGACACAGAAATTTATAAAGCAATCGAAAAATTCTTATAAAAACTATATTGAACAACCCGACAGGATGACGTATCACATATTTCTCATAAAATTAATATCGTCTGAATTAATTTAAGAATTTGAATATACATACATATTTAAAAACAGAAAAACAAAAATGATTCAATATATAGCATCAACAATATTTGTGTTGAAATACAAGACGGTCTCCAGCAGCTAAACAATTTAAGAATCATATCTTTGAGTGAGAAATTTATTATAGCGCAATATAGTATCATGAAGTGTGTTTATTTGAATGCATATGTAAAATTGTTAATCAGCGCAAAACATAAAATGATCAGATAAAAAGTTCATATGATGTAAAATCTTTTAATATATAACAGGTTTATTAGCCAAGCAATCTGGTTGGCAAACATTCTAGGCTACACAAGTATCAGAACGTTTGAAGAAAAATATATGGTTATTCTAAGTTACAGATCTTACAAGAAGGATTTTTAGGAATACCAGATGGCGGAGCATAACCCCGCCCAATAGTTTTTGTTTTTTGTATAAAACCATACTGCAACTCTAAAGCTCTTCTCACATTAATGGTTTCAGTATAAAATACTTCAACAGTGACGTCCATATTTGCCATTACAGTGAATGCACCGTTAAATTCTACTCTTAAGCATAAATATGGATTATGAAAAATGTTTAATTCTTTCAAATACTGGCCACAAAATTCGTTATCAATTGAGTACTTTGGCACCACAATGATTGTCACATGGTGTCGTTTTTTATGACAATAAAAATCGGCAAAATATAAATTACACTCAGGATTGAACATTTCTAAAGATTGGATATATAATCGAATTGGCCCAAAGTGAGAATAGGGATATGGCATGTTCGTTGTAGTATCTAAATACGTGCTGAAAAATAAACCAAACAACCTTCCATTTACTACAGAACCCTGTTCTCCGCCATAACTTTTCAAATATGGTCGCATTTCTCCATCCAGTTGTATCATTATCATATCGAAATACTCCTTTGATTTATTCCTATAGAAAAATTGAATAGGTCGCAGGTTCGGGTAGACTGTCCTTGTCCCAAACGCTATAGCAAGATTATACAATCGGTATGTATCCAGTAGTGATAAAACTGAAAGAAATGATTAAATTGATTCAGTTACTGAAATATTAATTTCGTTTAGGAGAAATCATATTATTTTATTTTAATTTTAATTAAGGCAAATGGGTGGTTTTCGGATGTTGATGAAATTTTATATGCTTTGATAACTCGTTGACTTGCATCCGAATATCGAAAAAATTGATACCTGTACCATTAATATTTCCAACGATGCAATCGATTTCAAAAAAGGTTGTGAGATAGGTCGATACATTTATGGAATGTACGTTAAAAGGGGCGATAATTATGCTTTTAACTTCTACATAATTTATTTTTCGATATTCAGATGCAGTTCTGTGATTTGCAAATTCATAAAAAGTTTCGTAAAAATCCGAAAGACCACCCAATCACAGATACTTTGCTTTAATTTAACACATAAATATACGACGAACTTGTTTATTTGAGAAAAAGCAACACTAATACAAAAGTTAAAACCAAAATTGATACTTCTAAAATTTGCTAGCTCTTTTTTGTTTTCTTCATATCAATCCTGTTGAATCTATAATATTCAAATTAGAAGTGACTTAAATATTTATTTAGAATATATAACCTTAATTTAACTAGAAAATATCTAATGACAAATGGATATTTAATATTTTGAATAAATTCCAGAATTACAGATTTCCATAGCTTAGTCTTTAGTTTTTTTATGTTTTGTCATCTGTACTATTATTTGTCTATTTGTCTTTTTATTTTTGGCCATGGCGTTGTCAGTTTGTTTTCGATCTATGAGTTTGACTGTCCCTCTGGTATATTTCGTCCCTCTTTTGGTTTCAACATGATGTTGGTGTTATTGGGTTCAGCCGTCTGAACAGTTTGTTATACTATTACTCTCTAGTATTTGTATTTCTGATATTCTTTGCTACACTCACTTTACTAACAGAAAATGGATTTGTAAAATACACTTACAGTTCTTCAAATTAACTTCAGTATTTTGTGATTATAGCTAATTTCCATAACTACACCCCTCCAAATCACTGTGCTATTTGCATTTTGTTTTATATATCTTTTATTCGGTAATATTTTTCGCTGTCCTAGTTGCATTTTTGCTCTCTACATCTTTTATTCGATTATAATTTTACTGACTTTTTCTTCTCTTTTTGGTAAAATTCATAGTTGAAAACAGAAGCTGCGTTTAAACATTGCTATTTGTGTTTTACAGTTTAAATATTCTAATTGATGGAATATAAAAAAGGCTGATAGCAGCAGAAATAAATTTATGATGCGTTTTATTCTTATTAAAATTCCGTTTCGTCTGAAAATGACATAACAATGTTTGCTGGAACAGATTTCGTTGCAGTTAATTGTGTGTAGTCCTGATACAATGCATTTTTGTTTCTTGTATATGACTTGGCAGGGGCAAAATTTAGACATTAGGAAGTAATGTCTCTATGATTACTGCACCTTTCATTTATTCATTTCTATAAAGTAACACGAATTCTAATGTTTAATGTGAACGATTCTAGATTCAACAGATTTCGATTCTATAAAAAGAGTTGATCAAAATTTAGAACTACATTTTTTTTTGTGTTGTTATTTGCTGTTTATGTTTTCTTTTTTGATGTATTCACTTGTCGTGGCTTTTTTTGTTGTTCATCTATACAATTAAATATTTCGTACACGTTTTAAAACTTATGACATGGCTATGCGATACTGTAGTGGTTATCCAAATGCTTCCATCTATCCGCTGCTCCCGACATGCACACAACACCTTGCATGCAACTGACGATGCAGATGGCAACTCAAAAGGAAACGTATTGTTAAAACTTCGACCACTGACAATGAAACATCGGAGCTGATTTTTTGCTCTGACAAAGACGATGAAATCCTTTTCATTTTCGAACATAAGATTTATATCTAATCTGTAAAGCGATGGAGGTTGGCGATGAACTGTTACTGGTAGCATATCCTACAAAAACCAAAAAAGCTTTGATATCAGTCTCTTATACAAGTTAGCAGTGAAATGCCATTAGTGAACGAGATCGGGAAAGTATGAATATTGTGAAATGTTCTTGCTTCCTTACATGTACTACATTGTGGACAATTATGTTATCTAAACGTTTTTTTCGGCTTATTCCCTTATTCTCCCCTAAACACACTACATATATTTTTTTTTTAATTCTGTCAAACTGATGAACTCAATATTGTTTATGTTCGATTTGTATTTTTTATGTTATAGTTCTGTTGAATTGTCATCAATTTTGTTAAAAATACTTCCACATATGTAAACTAGAAAATTAAGCAACCAATGACAGTAATGAAAATTCTTAAATATATTTTATGCTATGTTGTCTTGTGTAATGTACATTTCCATTTTCACATTTCACATTTTTAAAGATAACTCACAATGTATATTTATACTACCCTACGGTTATGCCAAAAATACTAAAACCGGAAACATTATCTGGAAAAAGTGCACCAAAACAGTAAGTTACTTCTGTATCAGTGGCAACATTAGTTTACCAATGTTCAAATCCCTTCATCTTTCATACTATATTCCTATAATCTTCATTGCTTTTGTGATCCAAAGGCGAACAATAAGCTTTGATTGAATTGAGAAAAAACTACTTAAATATATTATATATTTACATTTATCAAACTAATAACAGCCTCAGCTATTATATAATATGTCATTTTGTTTAAAAATTACAATGTTTCTTGTTTATTTCACCTGTGTTTCTGTTGATGATAAAGGGAAGGTATGTATTTCTTCCTCGTATAGTTCCAAAAGAACAGTAACTTGATTATCCACTGGACCTATTAAATAAGTCATTGAATAAAGGAAAAGATTCATTAATAACCACTTTTCTAAATAAAATGTTAAATAATGATTTATTATTTCATTGATTGTTCAAAGCAAGATAATGTTAATTATTATACATAATAATCTAAGACGTAAGGATCTGACAAGTGCAATAGATTTGTTTATGTGTTTGAAAATGAATACATGTAGATAGAAGAACAGACTTGACTTTAACTAGTAATTAATAACTAACTTAAACACTCTGCAGTTCATTAGGATACAAATGTATACATACACTCAATTTCTATATTTCCATAACATACTACCCTGTCATATTGTTCTGTACTTGAAATGACTGTCTTGAGCCCATACACACATACAATGAAGCTATTCTTCTGAATAGAAGTATTGTTCAATGAAATTGTCAGTTCTTCCTGACGAGTGTTCATGAAAATATTTGTTGATGAGGAATCGGATGTATCAACCAATACCATGAATATAACATCAAAAAGAACACCCATTGGACAACTTATTTTTAAATCAAATTTCTGATGATCTTTGTCTATGAGCTTTACCAACCAACACCTTGGTGCAACCTGAAAAATAGCATCACGCTGATGTATCTATATATATGGACATGTGACATAAATTTCAACTGGACGGTCATCCAACCAAAGTGAAAACTGGATAAGAAAGTAAACACATAAAGAAATCTTGCAAATAGACAGAACTAATGCGATATGGCAAGCTGTAGTAGTCATTACTACGTAGCAATTAAATTGAATTCAAGTAATTAGGAAGTTATAGCAATAACAACGATAATGATATGGATTATACAAAGGCAACTACTATTCAAAGAAGACAACATTCACAATGATGATCTAATTTGATAGAGTTTAAAAAGATAAAAGTCCGGGTATAATACTTATCTATTGTATGCCAAAAATATAAAGTAAACCTTTAGAGAATAACATCCTCTGTTTATCTAATATTTACAGAATTGATCGACTGAGAATTAGCAAACGTTTATGTCATTGACAATGCAGAATTATTACTAAATATAGGTTTCAGATATTTTTCTGGACTTTGGTGTTCATCAACTAGCTTATGATATTTTCTCAATTTATCCATAGTGTCCAATATGAGTGACACTTTTCGTGTATCACTCGTTCCAGTAACGCTTTGAGCAAATATCTAGATTTAAGCAGGTACTAGTAAGGTATATACTTGTATTTTATCACTGGTTAGTCTTGTGTGGACGAAATGCGCGTCTTGCGTATTAAATTTTAAACCTGGTACCTATTGTTAGCTATTATTCGTATGTTTCTCTGTCCTATATGTTCTCCCATTTATTTGTATTGTAGTCCTGTCATGTAATGTTGTCATTTTAATGTTATATTTAACATTGCCATAAAAGCGGGAGGTTTGGCTAGCCACAATACCAGGTTCAACCCACCATTTTTTTCTTAAAATGTCCTGTACCAAGTCAGGAAAATGGCCATTGTTATATTATAGTTCGTTTATGTGTGTGTTACATTTTCATGTTGTCTTTCTGTTGTGTCGTAGTTCTTCTCTTATATTTGATGTGTTTCCCTCAGTTTCAGTTTGTAACCAGGATTTGTTTTTTTCTCAATCGATTTATGAATTTCAAACAGCGGTATACTACTGTTGCCTTTATTTATACATCTTAAACATATCAAAATTCATATAAAAAGAATGACCACTTGACCAAGATATTGAGAAAGAACGACTGTTAAGTTTTTTGCGTTAAGATTCAGATATAAGTAGTGGCAAGACACTTATAATTTAATTAGTTGACAAATTAGACTGCAAGGAAAACGAAGTTATGTCTTCATGACAATTTAAACCACATGGCTGACATGTGTATAATTCTCGTACATGTTTCCTTTGTAAGAAGATATATTTAAACTCATTATAGATACCAGGATTATGATTTTGTATGCAATACTGGTTCATCTTAACTTATACTAATTACAAGCTGATGTCTCCGATTGATAAGGTTTTGTGTTAAAATTAGCAATATCAGGCGACAGGGATATACTATTTATCAATTGAGTCACCTCGATCAGCAATATATTTTTGAACGACTCTGAATACATTTTGCGTTTAGTATTATAAGTAATAATATAAATAAAGCAATAAGGGTAAATGTCAGATAAGTAGTAAGGGGCAAAATTAATTTATGATTATGATAACATCAAAAGTAAGCATCATCATGCAGTATATAATTATTGATATGGGATGAATATCTAAATCCGAATAGCTTCCTAGACATACCCCATCCATATGAAAAAAAGTAGTGATTATAACATTATCAGTTGAATTTTAACGCAAAACATATTTAAAAAAAATTATTTACAGAGGCCAACTGAAGGATGTTCAGTACCTTTAATTTCCTGAACTTATACTAAAGCTTTTAAAAATAAATTTGTTATTAAAAAATGGTTATTTTATGATCTTCATACCTAAAACATCTTTAAACGAATTAGACTTTTTTCGCTCGTTTCTTTCTGGTGAAGTTATTTCATGCTATTTAATCATAACCAACAATGACAGAATGAGGAACAATTTAGTAGCAGGACATAACTAGTGCAAACCTCGACCTCTCAACCGAGTATAGTGATGAACTAAATCATTATCCGTTAGTCTTGGTAGATAGTTGTATTGTTTGTATAATATTTTGCATTTCTAAACATTTTTGGCGTCGAGAATCACCCAAGAGGTATCAATTGTCAAAATGTACATCTGGTACAGTACAGTTGGTACCGTTAATGTTATAACTACCACTAGTTGGATACATCTGCTGGTGGACTGTAAATTCCCCGTGGGTATGACCAGCCCAGTATTCAGCACTGGCATTAAAATATGAATATTGTTTTATTGAAATTTGCTGTTAAAATGTTCTGAAACTTAATTTAAAAGAAACGTATCTTCCTAATGCAACGCTCTGATTCCTTGTTTTGTTATGAATACTTTAAATCCTTTTAAATGTAAAAAGTTTATGTAAGATTTTAGATTTTTTAGGCTAACGGCATCACTGGTACTATTAATGTTACTGCCTCGTTGACAGTCTAAATATCTTCTTATTTTTATATTCTTAACCTTTTATGAAATTGAAACAAAGGATCCCTTTCTTACACGAAAGTTGTCAGGTCGTCGTTGATACTTCTCAAATCCAACAACTTCAATTGTCAAGTATTACCAAGGCTGAAATTGTTTTTATGTTGCAAAGACACTTCATAGAAACATGATATTACTGTGCCGACTGACAAGACTATTTATAAGTTCATATATTATAAACACTTGACGGCTTCATACAAGTTCGGCATTGGCATTACTTATTTTTTACCTTATATATGTTATAGTGAATTTGTAAAATCAGGGCTTTTGCCGGTTTAAACCATATAAAAGTAATGCATGTATTAAAAATGTATTTTTTCTAAAATAAAATATCATATTGGAACTATCTTTTTAACAGACATGTACATGGTACTTTCATTTAGATCATAAACCTACTGTTCCTTTGGTATCTTTCGCCTCTCTTTTAACATTATAAGTGTTGATTGACTTATAAGATTGGCATTTGTTTATCGCTTTAATAACACAAGCCGTTCTACAGCCTTAGATGCGCTAATTTCAACAATATACATACACTTCTTGCACATTAACTAGTTATTGACCCCCCATTTACGTACCCAAAATGCTCCCTCACTATGAATACTAAATAGAACTTAAGCATGGAAACATATATTTCTTGAATAGAATTCATCGTTATATACAATAAAATTGAGAATGGAAATGGGGAATGTGTCAACGAGACAACAACCCGACCAAAGAGCAGAAAACTATATCACACAGTTTCTCGCATAGTGTATACTGTTACGGGTGTATTCTTTGTTTTAACACCAGTGCTCCGTATAACTTTCTAAAACAACTAATTGCTTTTCATATATTATGTATTACTTTCAATCATGTATGAATGAAAACTGCTTACTGGTATTCAGTTATCTCAAAGAGGATACGTTTCTCTTTTGTCAAACTCTCCTTATTTTACACTGCACATTATGAAAAATTAACACACATTTATAATTTAACATATAACTGTAATACTTACAATTTGACATGTATCTTCCTTTAAGGAAGCCATTTTGGAAAAAAAAACCAAGCTATATTCATAATTTTATCAATGATCATATGGTGTTAATGGTAAACAAGATATCTGATAATTTCCTTGACTATTGTTTAATCTTTTAAATGCTAGCCAACGTCTTTTTAAAAAAAATAAATCGGTTATCCTATTATATCATTCATTACCATATTGCATAAGTTCACACAATAAGCCTATTTAAATAGTTTATATTGGGATTCTAATAGTATTGGAGTGTACTATTATCTATTTTAATGGATATATTGCATATTTTGTAAACATCGGCTAGAGGTCAACCCAGTAATAAATAGACTCATAAAATGTATAAATATCTAAAGATCATAATTAGTACAAGAGATATTTTTACAAACGTTATAAAACCGTGTTTCAATTTCAAAATGTCCCATTCTGTCAAGTTTATGGGTTAGATTATTTCCATGAGTGTTGGTTTACGAATTTAATGATGTCCTAGGATGGTGTTTACATATCTCAATAGATACGTTATTCTCGTGCTTGTTCACACTATACGGACTTCATATACAGGAGTGTGCTCCTTACGCAGAAACTGCTCCAACAAAGTTATGAGGAGGACAGATTAAAAATGACACTCCGTACATTTTACGGACACCATCACGAATTTGTTGATCCATACGATGTGTCTTTGTCCAAACTAACTAAGAACATTTTTACCACGTGTTAGATTGTGGTTTGTCATTACGTCGTCTGATCTTTTAATTACCGAACGTGACTTATTCCCGATTGTGACTGTTTTGCTGAGTGTGAAACCGCATTGCTATAAGACGTATCACGGTAATTTTCTATCCCAAATTCATGTATTTAATTTTGATGTTATATTTGTTATTCTCGTCGGATTTTGTCAAATGTCTTAACGTCTTTTCTGTTATATTCGTGTGTTATGGTAAAGATAATTAATCACCCCCTTCATTTATTAGATTTTAGTTTGATTCAACGAAATTTATACGATATATTTGGTTTACAGTTTGATGCAGAAGAAACACAGACATAGCTAGATAATACAATTAATTATCTAATTACCACCACAATTTGATATTAATAAGTATTGTAATTTTCATTATATTTTAATAAATGTAATGTCAGTATTACAAACCTAATCTTGAATCAATCCTAATCCTATCTTATTTTTGGGAAATATTTTTACAAATTCAAATGTGACGTCACTTTGTGTGTTTTTTTAGAATTTCAAATGTGACGTCACTTTGTACGTTGAGGCTTTGGCTAACTCGGCTGTGTACTTTTATGTGTTGGATTAAGTTGTTTTATGTAATGTATCCGTTTTTATTCTGTAGTTAGTCCCCACTTCGGTTTTATCATGTATATCTATTATACAGTAATTTTATAAAATTTACTGTTTGCAAAATTTTAAATTATTCTAAATAATTAGGATGTTCTTGTCCCAGGCAGAAAACCCTGGCCGTGTTAGGCGCAACTTTTTGGAAGTTTTGGTCCTCGGTGCTCTTCAGCTTTGTGATTGTTTTGGCTTTCAAACTTTTTTCATCTGAGCGTCACTGGTTGGTCTTGTGTGGACGAGACGCACGTCTGGCGTATTGAATTTTAAGCCTAGTACCTTTTGTTAGCTATTATTCGTGTGTTTCTTTGTCGTATATGTTCTCCCATTTATTTGTATTGTGGTCCTATCATGTGATTTTGTCGTTTTAGTGTTGTGTTTGACGTTGTCATAAAAGCGGGAGGTTTGGCATGCCACAAAACCCACAGTTTTTTTCTTAAAATGTCCTGTACCAAGTCAGGAAAATGGCCATTGTTATATTATAGTTCGTTTCTGTGGGTGTCACATTTTAATATTGTGTTTTTGTTGTGTCGTTGTTCTCCTCTTATATTTGATGCGTTTCCCTCAGTTTTAGTTTGTAACCCGGATTTGTTTTTATCTCTATCGATTTATGAGTTTCGAACAGCGGTATACTACTGTTGCCTTTATTTAGGGTTAGATCAAGACCATTACCATTCCGCTGTTGCGGGATCCCTAATCACTAAAATTAATGTATCAACGTATTATATATGAGTTCAAGGACAGATGTCACCAGTGAAATAAGAAATGCATAACCATCCGGAGCGCATTGAATCACAACCAGTTTTTGGTGGATTTTTGTGTTGATCAGTCTTTAGTTATTTATGTAACGTTTTATGGACTTCTTTGTCTTTTCGTCGTCTTTTTTTATTAGCTATGGCGTTGTCAGTTTCTCTCTAAGTTTTGAACCCCCCTTTTGGTATCTTCCTCCTCTTTTTAAATACATTGATATATGAACAACAGAAAATATTAGGAATGCATTAATGTAACAAAAAAAAACAAAAAAAAACATGTGACACGAAAGACAAATTCAAGAAGTCAACATACAATCTTCAACAATAACCAAGTGTTTATACAGTATACCAAGCACTAGATGGCCTTTGAATTCATTTGATTGTATTATGAAGTGCAGTCCATTAAAAACGTACGGATGTTGGTGTCAGGCTGTATTATGTTTAGAACAAACACTCGTAGACAATGACTAGGGCTGATATGTATAAAACCACTTGAGTTAAGATATCCAATCGTAGTACTTATTTTTCGTAGGACATGTAGAAAAATCCTTCCTTTCGGAACAAGTATTAACTAAAGTTAGTTTTATTCATATCAGCCCAGAACTTTACATGTTTAAATTGAGATCAGCAATACATCGCTTAGAAATTAGTTATCACACTCGTAAAACATTATGTTTTTTGAAATTCAATCACGTAGCTTTTAAAGCTATTTCTGATAATGTCAACTTGATAAGGAAATATAAAATTAATATTCATTTTATATAATTATTCAAGGATACTTCGTTCATTTAGGTGTGAATTTATAATAGTGAAAAAACAGTTGTGTCTTAGAATCATTTTGTTCAATAGGTGAAAACACTGCGTAGTTACAAAACTTACCTTTTTCATGAGTTGAGTTATAAACAGATCGTCTGGGTGTTTACCAAACAGCATTCAGGTTTTTCTTAATATAATACGCTCATTCATGTTTCCCTTTATCAATCTTATTAAGATAGCACTTGATAATTTTATAGTTTTCAGAAAATCACGTTATGCAAAGGGAATTAAATATTACGTCGTTCTTAAGATAACAATCTACTTAAGGAAAATTGTTCATTTGTCATATATCTTGTTATTGTTTTCATAGTATGGCATTTACACAACTCAACTAATACGCTACGTTCATGTATGTTAACAGTATACGAACTTAATAATAGAGGTGCACTCTTTACTCAACAACTGCGCCAACAAAGTTTATATGAGGAAATTGACACTACATAGTTTTACGGTCACTAGCACGAACGGTTTACCGATATGATTTATCTGGGTCTCAATTCACTAGCAGCATGTTTAAGCAGTCTAAGATCTTTATATCCCAGAACAGTCTTGTGATCTGTAATTTTACCGATTGTGACAGTTTGACTGAGTGTGGATTCGCAATTCGGTTGATGCATGTTAATCGGGAAACGCTTAACCTGTCGACGCACCTAGTCTAGCTTGTTTTGGAGTTCATACGATTCTTTCAGGTTTTGTTTGCCATCTTGATTTTTATTTTCTCAATCGATGTATGGGATTTGAAGATCGATAAATTACTGTCGACTACATGTTGTCAATGATTGCAAACCTTTGTGAACAATTCGTTTGAATTCAAGACATTTTTTATTTCCTATACTATCAAAAAATATAACTAAAAGTAGAAAATTTGTTTAATTATAATGAAAACAGTCTAAAAAATCTTGCAACGAACACATAGCTTTTAAACATAGGAAAATATAAACATTTGCATTTTAATAACGGTTGTTATTTCCAACTGTTATCAGGCATGTTCTCTACCTTAACTGATTAGAACAAATGGTAATGACATGGTTGATCTATATTCCTTTAAGATTATGATAAACGCAAGATTTAACGCTTGAAACATTTTTTTTGACACAGTCTATACAAGTTAGTCAGAAAAGCAATACAGACTTCCTGAAACCGTTTGTCTAGTCGTCTATATGAGCAATTCTAAAGGCCATAAATTATAGTAAGTTTCGTATTTGTTTTTCTTAAACTTTATATCATATCCAGTATATCAGATATCTTTCAGTCGATCGTTAGTCTGGCTGGTGTATGGGGGATTATTTCATCTCGTAAATCTGCCTTATCAAATGAAAATATTTGAATCTAACAGGTTGTATTGATAAATACTGAATTGAGCTATTTTAGAAATCAACGTTAATGAAATGTTTTGATCAATGATATCGGGTCAAATTAAAGTCAGTTCTTGAAAGTGTTGGTTATATACTTCCAGAAATTAAGTGTTACTGTAAAAATAAATTTTCAAAGTTAACGAATAAAGCGTTGATAGCAGTAATTTATTATCCGATTAAACTGGTAAACCTTTTGAGTTTTGTTAAAACTGGTAAACTATTTGCCCTATGTAGATAAGCAAAAAAAAAATTAATCTGACACTCTCTATAATATGTTATTAGTTACATGGTGTGTTAGTGACCTACTACGATATATATGGGGTCAGTAAATTCCATATGGGGTGAGAGCGAAGCTCGAATCCACATATGGAATTTACTGACCCCATATATATCGTATTAGGTCACTAGCACACCGTGTAACGAATTTATCTTACCGACTATCTTCACATGTGGTATTTTGACTAGCGGCCTATCAAAGTGATCAAGTCTTCAATACTTAGTATTAAGATGCTACTTCCATTTGTCTATACAGAAAACAAATGCCAACAATAACAACCTTTTACCTTTAAATTTATTTTATGAATTTATTTCAATCGTTCATTACATGTATCAATTTCTTTGTCTGTTGAATCCTTCCAGATTTCCTTTTTTTTTGAAAGGGAAGTAACTCCGTTATGCCAACAATAACAACTTGTTAGCTTTATGTTTTATGAACTTATTTCAACCTTTCATCATCAATTTCTTCGTCTGTTGAATCTTTTCAGATTTTTCCTCAACACCGTGTTGTTTTTATAAAGGTTTGTGGCATCTTTTTTGTTTTGAAAGGGAAGTAAC